CCCGCGACGTCGAGTTTCAGGGGAGCGATCTCCTCCCGAGAGCGCGAGACAGGATGCCCGTGGAACACTGGGCCCCCTGGGGCCTGGCAGCCACGGCAGGCGGCTGTCGTTCGCCGAGGGCGCGGAGCGGGGTGCCCAGGAAACGCCGGCAGACTTTGGGCCTGGGGCCGTGGTGTGCAAGGTGCGCTCACAAGGAAAAGGAATGGAGGAGGAGGAGGAGGAGGAGGAGGAGGAGGAGGAGGAGGAGGAGGAGGAGGAGGAGGAGGGAGGAGGGAGGAGGCGGAGGAGGAGAAGGCGAGGCGGGTTGGGAGGTCTTCTATTGCAATCTAACAGCCCCGACCTGTTGGGCGGGGGGTCCACTTGAGCAGGAGCGCCCCCCCCAAAAAAACAAGCCCGCACCCCCACCTCATCCCACTCCATCCTCCCTCTCCATCTGCTGTTCTTCCTCCCCCTCTTCCTCCTCGACCTCCTCCTCCGTTGTCTTCCTCCCCCCTCTCCTCCTCGCCGTCCTTGGCCCGCCGAAACACGGAAGCGCATGTAGGATTGAGGGTTGAACTGAGCGAAGGAGGATGAGGGCGTCGGACCATGACGACGAGAGGAAGAAAAGGGAGAACGGTGCTGGGGAACGACAGGGAGCGCATGGCGTGAAACCAGCGCTTGCGGATAACCCCGCCAACCCTTGGGGCGCGACTGGCTTGGAGCGTTTCCTCTTCCACCCCTCAGTCTTCCCCCCTCCGGGGAGGGTTTCCCTGCCCCCCTCCCCCCTCCCCCTGGGCCCGGACGGGGGGGGCCTCGAATCTTTCCTGGGGGGAAGAAGCAGGGGTTGGGAACGAACAGAGATAGCTCGCACAGGTCGGCTCGCCAGCGCGCGCGGTCACACGGGAATTCGGGCCTCGCCGCGGGGGGGGGGTCGCGAGAGGTAAGAGCGTCAAAGATGGCATCGGCGAGAAGGCCACGATCGCTGATCAGACCTTTCCTGACATGAACGGAAAGCGCGTGAAAGGGAAGAGTTGCGCAAGAACTTGCGGCATCATCGTGATCATATGCAATATAAGCGAGCTCTCCGAACGCTCACAAAGATACGTATGGACACGCGCCACCCGAACGTTTACACGCATCTTCCTGGTTATCCTCGCCACTCCTCCGCATGAGGAGGACGACGGCGAAGACGACGACCGGGGAAGAAGGCAGAGGAGGAGGACGAGGAGGAGGAGGAGGAGGAGGAGGAGGAGGAGGAGTAGGAGAAGAAGGAGGAGGAGGAGGAGGGGGGAGGAGGAGGAGAAGGAGGAGGAGGAAGAGCAGGAGGAGGAGGAGGAAGAGGAGGAGGATGAGGGAGGAGGAGGAGGAGGAGGAGGGAGGAGAAGGACCAGCAGGAGCAGGAACAGAGTGAGGAGAGGAGGGACGGGGAGAAGGACGAGGAAGAGGAGAGAACATGAGCAGGAGGAGGAGGAGGAGGAGGAGGAAGACGAGGCGGAGGAGGAGGAAAGAGAAGGAGGAAGAACGAGAGGATGAGGAGGAGGAGGAGGAGGAGGAGGAGGAGGAGGAGGAGGTGGAGAAGCAAGAACAGGAGGAGAAAGAGGAGGAGAAGGAGGAGGAGAAGGAGAAGGAGAAGGAGAAGGAGGAAAAGGAGGAGGAGCAGGAGGACGAGGAGGAGGAGGAGGAGGAGGAGGAGGAGGAGGAGGAGACCAGATGGCTTCGAGGGCCCGTTCGAAGGCATTGTGTAAGGGACGTCTCGAGTGAAACGCTGATTGTTCCACGAAAATGTTAAAAACACTTGGGTTTTTCAATATGTTCGCTTCTTGGGCCATCTTGGGGGTCATCCGAGATCGCTCCGAAAAAATGCCTTACAAGAGCTCTGTCGGCATCCCATGTTTTCGAGGATGTCTCGGGCGAAACGCCCATTGCCGAGGAACCGAACATTAGGCGAGCGATTTCAAGATCTCCATGTTTGGAGGATGTCTCGAGCGAAACGCCTATGTTTGGCAAAACCTTTCCTGCCATGAACGGGAAGCGCGTGAAAAGGAAGAGTTGCGCAAGAACTTGCAGCATCATCGCGATCAGATGTATTACAGGCGAGCTCTCCGAACGCTCACAAGGGATATGTATGGATATGCACCCCCCGAACGTTCACAAGCATATTCCTGAGTATCCTCACCACTCCTCCGCATGAGGAAGACGACGGCGAAGACGACGACCAGGGAAGAAGGGAGCGGAGGAGGAGGAGGAGGAGGAGGAGGAGGAGGAGGAGGAGGAGGAGGAGGAGGAGGAGGAGGAGGAGGAGGAGGAGGAGGGGAGGAGGAAGAGGAGGGAGATGAGGAGGAGGAGGAATAGGAGAAGACGCAACATCAGCAGCAGCAGCAGAAGAGGTGAGGAGGAGGAGGAGGAGGAGGAGGGGGAGGAGGACGAGGAAGAGGGGGAACAGGAGCAGGAGGACTGGGAAAAGGAGGAAGAACATGAGGAGGAGGAGTTGGAGGAGAAAGAGGAGTAGGAGGAATAGGAGAAAACCGAGGAGGAGGAGGAGGAGGAGGAGGAAAAAGACGGAGGAACAAGGTGAGGAGGAGAAGGAGGAGGAAGATGAGGAAGAACGAGAGGAGGAGGAGGAGGAGGAGGAGGAGGAGGAGGAATAATAACAGGAGGAGGAGGAGGAGGAGGAGGAGGAGGAGGAGTTCTGGAGTTCTGGAGTTCTGGATATAGCGACTAGGTCGGGGTGACAGAATTAAACACTGGATTTCTGCTTCGTGGCTAGCTCGGCTTTGCTGCAAGCCTTAGGCCAAATTCCACGAGAAATCCGATCGAGGTATACGTTACGATTACCCTCGATTCGGCCAACACACGGCTTTGCTAGTTCTTTAAGCTGCTGAGCTGCATAGAACCCGCACGCTGAGCAGAACCAAACTCCCAGTCCCGCGTGATGCCTCAAATTATGACTTGGGTCGGGAAAACCCCCTGCTATATGCACCCGCCGCCCAGGGGGGGGGGGGTCAAAGAAAGCCCCGTCAACATTAATTAGCTCGAAACAGGGGGAGGCTAGCCAGTCCTTACGCTTCGCTTTAGTGGCCGTGCCTTTGCACCTACTGCACTTATTGACATTAGATTCGCATAAGACATGCTGAGACGAAAACATGGCACAGATGGATGGGGCAGGAGGCCTAGGCTGGGCTCGGCGGGCAGCTTTCCTACCAAGGCTTTTCTCATGCTCCTGTTCAATGGCCAATGCTTCGATTGTACTCTGTAGAATTCTCATGCGAACCAAGAACGCTTTATTCTCAATCTGATGCACTCTCGATCTGTTTGCACCCGACACCCTGGCCCTGTCCGCAGCGAGCGAGGCAAAGGCGTCAGCCGCAGTATTGCCAGTGGCGAGCAGCTTGGGCGCCTTGCCCTGCAGCAGGTCCAGGGCCTCGAGGTGAGAGTGGACAAACAACATTGTGCACTGCAAACTGGGATGTGCATCGAGATGCTGTCCAATCTTCCACCACAAATCACTGTCGGGTCCAACTGGGTTACGATACTTCTGGGCGTACCAGCCGATGATCACGCTCTCGTTGCCAGTCGTGTAAACCACATGCCCCGCGCTGCACCGCAGGGCAAGATAAAATGAGAGAAGCTCACCTCGTGGAACTGTTTGTCGCACTCCTGGAAGTCCTCCCCACACTCCCAAGAACAGCTCCATGTTCTCAGACAGGTCGTGGTAGCAAGCGAGACCGCAGCCAACTCTCCGTAGCCGCGGGCCCCTGCTCTCTGGGCCGCCACTGGCGCCCCCGAAAACGTATAGTGGCTCCTCCTGCGTGCCCTCCCCGAAGCAGCCGTCGACGTACTCGCCTCCAGTTGTACTCCAGGACTCGTCGCTCTGAGGGGACTCCACTGTCAACCATGCTGAAGGTATGAGGCCTCGCGTCCAGAAGCAGGCATCTGCCTCCCCCTGCGCATAGGCTTCACCCACATACTTCTCGGTGAGGCCATAAATGTCGTGCTGACATTTGCCCTCGCAGGCCCAAACACGGTGAAAGGCTGTCTCTCGATGACCACGGCAGCGAAGGCAATACAATGACATCTCCTGCTTGGCTCGCTCCTGTCGTCGCATTCGTGGCCACGAAGCCCCAACAGCAATCGCCAGCATCAGGCCAGCGAGGCGACGACCTCCTGGTGCGCCCTCAAGGTGCTGAAGAAGTCGTCGGTACGAGTGGTTGCAAGCTCCAGCTTCGAGCCCTGCACCTTCGTAATGCTGAGCTGCTCGTTGCCAGAGACCTGCAGACGCAGTGCGCTCATATTCTCCACAGAACTCATCGGGCATGTCTATATTGACAACACCTGTGAGCTGATCGACCCCGAACTGCCAACTGTGCTCGAGCCCGTCGCCACAACTAGGTGTGATCCAACATGTAGGAGAAACAGGCCGCCATCCAGCCTGCAGCAGGTAGCATATCACGGCTCCTTGGGGGCCTCGAATGTGCCTGGCACGCTGGGCCTGAGGGACTGCCGACAAATCACGAACCAAGGTAGGCCACGTACGATTGATGCCGTCGCGGATGCTCGGCTGTCGTGTCCAACAAGAAAGCCATAGCCGCAGGCACTCGCGAGGCATCTTACATGCTGGGTCGCGTCCTGCTGCCTTCAAGTCGATCAGGGTTGTCAAGCATCTGCCCGACATCTTGGGGCCGAGGGCGTTGCCTAACTTCCTGCGACATTGAGTCATGGCATCGCCGAAAACGCCATGGAGCTGGTGCCCG